AGTGCTGTGCAGCACAAAGTTATGCAATTTGGTTTCTCCTTTTAATTAGTGCAGATGATTAACATTCTTGCAAACATTCTCTTTGGTGTGTGCATCATATTTTCTCAGAAGTTATGTAAACAAAACAAATCCACTTTGCAACCATTGACAAAAACTGACACCCTCCCGATCCCCAAGGAAAAAACAGCCCTTCCCTCTCCCCAGACAAATTAAGGTCAAACTACATTTGTAACAATAAATATAGAGACAGTTAATTATTATTTTAGAATTATAATTTGGTGTACTGTACAAGGTGCATGATCAAACAACACCTTTACCTTGAGGCTTCACTTTCGAAAACTGCATGTATTCTTACTACAACATTGAGCAAGGGGGGAGTGGATAATGCAACAATAATGCTGAGGGTGGTATAGTGTATACACAGTCATGTATAAGGACAGCAATGAGATTGATATGGAGCACAGAATGGAATAAAACAAGCACCATTGCTGCTATAGCAGCTGACATGCAACATGACATGGCAGGACAAAAGACGCAGCTTGCAGGGAGAGACATGTCCAAAAGCCCAGGGCAAGTAGATTTAGCTATCACGATAGTGAATTCTGTTCTTAACTTATGCCTAGTGAGCAGGTGAAGTTTTGGGGGGAATTCAAATTATACAGAACATGTAACCAATCCTGCTCATCGAAAAAAATTCTGCCCTAGTGAAAATGACTCTTGGTATAGTACATTCAAGTACATGCCTGAAGTCTAATGGCAAGCTGTAAAACTGACCTTCTCTACACCCTGAAGGTGACAGCTGAGAAACTTAAGTTTTTAGCTTAACTGTCACATGCACCAGCTTGCAGCACACAGACATAGAGCTCTATGCAGAAAAATTTATTGGTACTCACTTAGCAGTCAAGGCTCCCTCAAGATAACCAGCAGCATACATGATGGTTGTGTCACTGTAACTGGTTTCTCCTGTACCTGACACAATGTCCAGCTCACCCCATCTTTACCATTAGGGTATACAAAAAAATTAAGCAAGAAAAACTTAGAGTTACATCGTAACCTTTTACATCCTGATAATTTTTCAATGGGTCTGTCCATTTTTTAGTTTTTTAAATCTTTTCCCTCTATTTGAACTGCCTGTCTGCCAGAAAACCATGAACAAACACCGCCCCCCCCCCCCAACTTCAAAATAGAGAGAGTATGTACACCTTTCACTTTCACTAGATATAATTCATTATTTTTCCCAAAGATCTGTCTATTGCTAATGATTGCTACACATCCCCCCCCCCCAGCCCTCACCCTCAGATCACAGGAGAGGACATTTTTCAGCCCTGCATACAATTTACCTACAGTAGGTGTGCACTATTGACATACATTTCAAAGTGCTTAACAAATAATTAATATCAAATAAATAAAAGAAAACTATTTCCCTTGTAAAAATTTATCAGCGAAATAACAAGCAAATATAAAGTCCACAAAGGACATCATAGATTATGTTATGCCGAGTAGTTTAATGTTGTGTGAAGAAAATTATTGTTACTGTGTGTCACCCAGCACAGTACAGTACTCATTTAAATAACTATTTCGAACTTAAATCCAGGCAACACCGTACTTATTCATACCCTGTGGAATTTATGTTGTCAACATAAATACCATAGGCAACTCCTTTTTCTTTGTCCAAAACTCCAAACTCTATGTGATATTTTCTGCAAAAAAAAAAGGAAAGAACAAAAAAAGTGTATAATGATAGTTATCAAAATTAAAAGATATATATTAAATTTTAAAAGATATAATAATTTTAGCAGAAATCAGTACACACTTAAGCACCAATTGAAGCCAATCAAAATATCATCATTGAAAAGATTCTTCTCAAATTAAATTCCCAGCTAAATTTTTTTGTGGGCAGTTGAGGCAATTGATTTGGAAATCACCCCAGTTGTTCACTTCATGTAAGGGAATTTGGATTCTGGAATCTGGGAAAATTTTGCTTATGGAATCCAAAATCCTAGGTTTTGAAATCTGGAACCCCAATAACGATTGGAATTCAGAATCCCACCAGAATCCAAGACTGTTGGGCAACAATAAATTATTGTTATTATATCAGGAGTGCGATAGGCAAGAAGTCAACAACTGGATATTCTTAAGGAACTCAACTACTACGCAGCACTACATATAATGATGTTTATAGCTTAATAACTACCTTGTAAACTTTGTAAGGAGAGGAGGATCACGGGTTTAAAATATAAAGCCATTTGAGAAGAAGGAACGAAGGAGTCAAGGATGAGAGGACAACAGACATGCCTCCTTTACAATAACATGTGAACATATATATTAACATGAGAACAGTAAGCTCGGACATCAGCATACAAAGGCGCCACTGGCAGCCGCTCTCAGTCCATTTTGAGCTTACTGTACCCACCCAAACCATGATGTGAATGATGTGTTGTAGTGTGTGAAGGTTGATCACACCAGCGGGATCTACATCCTCCACTCAAAACATTGACCCTTTGATGGGGTTATCCAACAAGCAGACAGGGTATACCCTGTCTGTCATGAGGCAACTGGATAGGATCTTAGGGGGAGGGGGAGGGGGAGTATGCGGGACTGTCCCTTTAAGTCTAAATTTCAAATACAGGTATGGTTGTTTCACGTTTTGAGGAGTAGGCCATGTCCGCGTCATTATTTAGCCCATCTTTATGTCGTTTCTCACTGTTTCATCTAATTTCTGTCGCTGTTTTAAGGCCATGTCACATTAATTGTCAGAATTTTAATTTAAGATGAGGGGTTACATAATCCAGATAGTCTTTGAATACTTGGCCTTTTGAGGATCTAGGCCCCTTGGTTGTCTGGAACCCTCAACTTATTTTCACGCCAAAGGCCACTCCAGGCCGGGCCTTGCTTCTTAACTAAGATTCACCACTGCCTAAACAGGGCTGGCTTTTACATACACATTTCCGTTTGGCACATAAAGCTTCTTAGTTTCTACAAGTATTTGGTATTAGTTCATAGATTTACAAAAATGACCAGATATCCTGAAGTTAAAGTACAAAAAAAATAAGACAAACGATTACATAGAAACTCGATTCTCAATTTAAGCTTGCAGAAATATAATAGATCATATAGCTTATCTCTGCAAAGCACGAACTTCCTGGTGGCCGCGTGAAACGCTAAGTACAGTATATCTTCATTCTAAAGAGTCTTACCCTTCGGTATAGTACACTGTACCATTCATCGAATAGCCTGGGTCGCTATGAGAAAGCCTAACAGTGGACAAAAGGCAAAGTAATGTAAACAGCATCATTTTCGATTCCACCATCAGATCGAACTTTGAAAGCTCACCGAAACCGACACTGAAACCAACAGAAGATGGGGACTGGGTACCAACGCTACCTTTCAAAATCGGCGGATGTTCGGAGGGATGTCGTAGTGAGTCTTCGGAAGTCCTCGACAAATTTTTCACATAGCATAACGACCCCTCGAAGACCATCGAAAGTTGTGGAATCCAACTCAGTAAGGCCTACCTCCGAAACGAGCGATAAAATGTCACAGGTGTTAGCAAATCCCGAGAGTAGCGATCCCCCTGAAAATAACGACCTTACGAAAGTAGAGACCTTAAAAGATATATAATTTTCCTTAGAGAGCCTCCGAAAGTAGCCGCTACGTATACTTTCGGAGGCTATCGGATAGCAGAGGATGATAAATCCGAAAGTAGCGAGGGTCGTTACTTTCGGAACTTTACGGTATACTATCAAAACCGCCTTGCTCGAATAGTATCAACTGTAATGTGATGGTTCAGTTTTAACGCTCGAATTAGCGCCCGGGGCGGGCACTTATTCAGCTCTCTGAAAAGGACTTGGGGAGGGAAGCGTTTGTTTTATGGGTGTGCTTATTTTCCTTGTCCTTTTTTGGCCTCAAAATAGCATTGTCACAATTTGAAGCTAATGCTGAACCAAGAGGCCGTCTGACTAGAACATGCCTGTGAGAAGAAACACAAATCCCTGCGTGGCCCCTCTCAATTTCTCTTCTCTAGGTCTTTAAATCATGTTCAACTTTTCTTGGGGGAGGGTAGATGTGGGGGCTGGGGCTGGGGAGTGGAGAAGCGTGTCTTATCACAGATACTACCAATCACCAAAACCGCCGGGCCAACGTAAATTACTGTATTTAGTGGATGACTTAGCTTGTAAGCTGAAGTCGAATATGCCCTCTAAAAAGGACAAGCTGGCGCTGGTTTCAAGGCTGTGCTTATTTCCTCTGTTTTGACCTTACAAATTGCATTGTCACTATTTTCAGCCAAGAGAGTATAGCCGATTTTTTGAAATTTGCAGCTATTTGAGCCCATAAGAGTGAAAAAAGAGCCAAAGAGCAGGTTTGTTTTTGTTTTTTTTTTGGCCAACGATAAGCTCGAAAATCAGGGCAGCACAGCAAAAAGAAAAGAGAAATTAACAAGCCAGCTAGGAGCGAGAAAGCCGGAGAGGGAAGAAAATTTATGTTTAACATTTATGATGCTAGTGAGATTTGAAGGCGCTTATTTTAATCGGGCGTTTTAAAACTATTTTTAGCTAAAAGGGGTTGCTGTTAAAAGGAAGGGGGGAAATTCGATTAGTTACGGAAAGGTTCTGGCGTGTTGGTCTCTATGGCCCGCAGTAAGCCTTACAACATTAACCCCGTATGTTTTACCCTGCGAATACAGTCAACTCGTCGCTTCCCGCCGTAACCTGGAAAACCGAGGGGGGGGGGGGGATTCACAGGCTACCCAAACCCGTACTAATCAAGACCCCAATTTCAACAGAAGAGTCAATTTATTCATTTATTTCGCTTCCTATTATGTACATAATTAATTCGGATCAGTGTACGTTTCCGGGCAACTGCCCACCTATCCCTCCCCTAAGGCAACATTAACACTCATTTTTCACTTAGGGAAAAATCTGGCTTCAGGGGAGGCCAGGGGTAAGTGGACAGTTTCCCAGAAAACTATTTTGTTGCATTAATTCCCTGTATTATTATTATTAACACGCATTCTGCCTCCTCATCAAGTTGTAGCGAACCTTCCTCGCTCCAGCTCCCCGCAGGTCATATGAAAACTCAGTGGAAATGTAAGGAGCATTGCTTTGCTTTGTCTAAACAAGAAAAACAAAAGAAAAACAAAAGAAAAGTAACATAATAAACGACTAATGGCTGAGGCTGAGTAAAACTTATGAGGCCGAAGGGGAATTATGCAAATCGAGGGGGTATATCTGCCTAAGCTAAAGGTTGAGGTTGGAGGATACCTTAATTAGAACAAAGCCTGATTCAATAACCGTCGACTGTTCATGAAAAATACATTCAAACCCTGTCACATGGAATACGGACACTGAAGGGGGAAGGAGGTGTGTGTGTGTGGGGCGGGGGGGGTATAGAAAGTGTCCGTATTCACGGGGTGTCCGTATCAAGTGGGTTAAATTTAGAGAAATGTAAGGGGCTTTCTTTCCCCAGGAACAAAGCAAACTGTCCGTAATAATGAGGACTACGTATTAAGCGGGTATCCGTAAAGCGGGGTTTAACTGTATTAAACCAAGTTCACAAATTCCTTACTTCTGCGTAGAATATTCTCAAAGAAATCACCAAGTCTTCGCCAGTTTTAGAACCTTTACAGATGTTTTTTTTTTGTTTTGTTTTTTGTAAAATCTTTGAAAAACGTTGATATCGTCGATGATCAGCAGCTTTTTGCATTGAAAAATAATTTAAAATTATTGGGCGAGGTTGAGCAAAATATCATGATTTGTCAGAAACGAGCAGATCGATTAATTGGCGAAGCCGAAGGCTGAGGAAAATAACTGATCTGCGAGACACTGACAAATCACGATATTTAGCGATAACCGAGATCAATAATTGTTTTATCTTTCGCAACTAATGAATATCTTCGGGAAGAGAAGCGATCTGCCATTTTTCACGCAAGAGATATCGCAAGAAGGAGAAAAGCGTGGTTTCGTTTACGCATGAGCAGAATATTTACAGCCAAACACAGTTAGACGGCATTGCGCATGACCCGACCCTTGTTTACAGGTCACGTGTTGGGCTTTCGGCCAATAAAAAGGAAGAACAATTTGCATCGAATGAGAATAAGAGTTATTTATTTATTTATTTTTTTTTCAGTCTGAGAACCCTAAAAAGGGAAATGTTGTTGCTGTAGCTACGCCGCAAATCATTCAAAGTCATTCTCTTCTACTCACCGATAACAGTAAGGCTGCTGGAATTTCTAAGTTTCCTTTAAGTAAGGTGTTAACCTGTTTAAGATCATCCAGCCCGAGGGGTGTTAACACAAAGAGCAGTTTCTCAACAGGATCAATGTTCCGTACAATTCCTACGACGGAGAAACGGTTGATTATTACAGATAAAACAGAAATGAATGTTTTCGCCAAAGAGAGCCAATACACAGAATCCTGAACTGCCAAATTACTAAAAAAAAAATACAGTCGAGCACCTCCATGTGCAACCACCTCTCGCAAAGGTTACCTGTCATCTCGCCCCCGAGTCTTTTCACCCCGGTTACTTACCCTCCTATTCTAGAACGAGGAATATTATATTTGAAGAGTACTTGTTTGGTTTATGGCTTAAAGAACGAGGAATATTGCAGTTTGAAGTGCGCTTGTTTTGCTTTATGGCTTATAGAACGAGGAATATCACATTTGAAGTGCGCTAAATGACTCGAAAATAGGTGACTAAGTAACCGGGGGCGAAATGACAAGTAACCCTCGCAAATATGTAGCCTGCGAACACACACGTATTAGCAAATATGAGACCCGGCACCTATCCAAAACACCGAAATCTCCCCAGTCGCAACCCTTAAAAGTTAAAACCTCTTGAAAACGAGAGCGGACATTGCAGATCACATATTCCTTCGTAAATGTACAGTAATTCAGGGAAATACGTAATATGGAAACAGGCACAATATGACGAAGAGCAAACCCTCTCTCTAAAAAGTAAAATTCTAAACGAAGGGTAATATTTAACTCCATAAAAATTTTCCTCAGGACTGTCCATGAGCCTTGACCTCGCAAACTCGACCCAGAGCTCTCATGCGCATGACTGCGGAGTCAGAAGCATAGGTAATAGGCGCTGTTATAAGTGCTGGGTTGAGAATAGTTAGGCTACCGCTGTCGAGCATGCGCAGCTCGGTGACGAACTTCTTTCGACAAAAAAAAAAAACAAATAGATGAATAATTAAAAGCAAAATCAGAAGGTATACTGCGTCAAAGAGGAATCTTATATAATCTGAAAAAGATAATTACCCAAACCGATACATTCTGTAATGGGACTCCGCATAAAGCACCAAGGCGTACTGCAATCTCCTCGGCGATACATCTGAAAGAAAAAGGTAACTTACTTTCTCAATTCACGGCCTGTTTAGATAGAGGTGTGGGACCCCAGATAGGTGAGGTAACATGTGGCGTGTCACCCCACCTCTCATGTTAAAGTGATCAAATAAAATGAAAGTCTATATTGATAGGCGGGTTACCCCACCTAAGCGGGTTACCTCAACTACCTGCCTAAGCGCATGTTTAGATGCAGGGAGGGGGGGGGGGACCCAAGGTAGATGAGGTAACCCGCTTAGGTGGGGTAACCCGCCTGTCAATATAGACTTTCATTTTATTTGATCACATAATAGGTGGGGTGACTATATGAGAAATTATATGGACAGGCGGGTTACTTCACCTGTCTAGGGTCCCCCACCTCCATTTAAACAGGCCCTAAGCTTCAAGCATAGATAAAGATAGGTAAAGTTTGAATTTAAGCCAAGTCGTTTATCAAGCCGGAGATCATCCTGGAATCGATAGCTTCAAAAGACTGGAATTTTTTTTTTACCTCCATGGACGAAGATCTGGTCAATCTCAGGTAAAGCCCCGAGAATGCAAAAGTCGTTACATTTTTTGAAACACTTGTCAGACTTCTGCAATTGCCCAAAACGGGAGACTCGACATTGCAGAAGAAGAAAAGAGAGTTCCGTAACAGAGAAAAGTTAGATAAGTCACATGCAGCCCAAGCTCAGCATGGTAGGTATTAAAATACGTGTGGTACTATATTGCGTAATCCTCAAAATGGCCGTGAATATAATTATTGAAAGGATTTGTAAGGCGTTTTCAAGAAGATAAATACAGGGTCAGAGCCTCCTATTCTTACCTCTTCTGAAGCGCATCGCGCCAGTCCTACAACACTCGCATTAACGGCGTACAGAATCTCATTCCACGAAATCTGCCCCCAAGAAATAAAAAACAACAATGAAATTTGACATTAACATTGTGTAAACCAAAACCTTGTTGTGGAGGTGGAAATTACATTGAACAATGGGATTCTAAGTTTTGCTTATTGAAATCTGTTTATTTTTTTTATATAACTAACGATTAGCTCGTTTTTTTTTCTGTGTGTTTCTTGAGATTAAGACGGTGATTGATGTTGATAGACCCGATAGTCAGTTGCTTTTTGAAGAATTTAACAAGAAAAATTGAACTTAAGAACGTTACTCGACCTTTCGATGTTTCGAACACCATTTTCAAGAGTGAGAAATGTTTAAGTTTCAAATTTGTTAAGAGTTTAAGTTTGAATAAATTAGTTTGCATCTGTGCTTGCTTCATTATTATGTAGCTTTCTTAATGGAAAAGCTTAGCGCGAATCGTGTCCGATTGGACGTTCAGTGATTGTTTGAGTTCTTGAATGCCTTGTCTACGAGATGCTATTAGGCCGATTTAGCAACGGGATGGGAACGTCAGTTGACGACGGGAAAGCGCGCGGAAAGGACTAAACACTTTCAGTGCCCAATTTATCGCTCTGCCATTAGTCAAGCCAGTTGTTTAATTTGCGCGCGCCGTTGTCTACTGAGTTTCCCGTTCTGTTGCTAAACCAGTCTATTAGAGACCTTTAGATTCGAAAGACGAGAACGACTATGAGTACGAGATTTAACCTAAGTTTTTTCGCCTATTATCACAAAATAGACACCCCGGAAAGCTTAATTGTGCTTTTTTTCATTAGAAAAGAGAGCACCGTTATCTATATTGAAGGAAGTTAAGCCCTCTCTCGATCACAAAATGATAAAACTTCTATTATAACATTTGATAATTTGTTTCCGCAATTACGACATTCTCGCTAAAACTCGTAGTAGAATGACGACGGCTAGCAAGTTTTCCCGCCAAAATAGGGACTTTAAGATCCAACGACGCGACGGCAACGAGAACTTCGCTTAAAAAATGAATTTGCGTTCTTTCGGTCTTTATCGCGGGTATTCCAACCCACTTACTTTGTCAAATGTAGGCGACCGCTCCTGAAGTTGAATTCCAAAGGACCATATCCAAGTTCAGAAAGATAAATAAAATTTCGTCGTTGCTTTTTTACTTTCTCCAAAAAACGCGAAAATAGGCATTTTCACGTCGTAGTCGTGCAAAACGGCAAAGAGATGTACACAAAAGTGTGATGCACGAGCAAAATTGTTGTTTTGCTTATTAAAACTATTGTTTGTTTTTTCTTTTTGACGTTCTCGTTGCGGTCGCGTTGTTGGATCTTAAGTCCCTAATGACGCTATCATGGTTCACGCGCGCGGACTAATTTGCATTGAGGAAATCTCGTCCTCGAAGTCGTACTCGTCTTAGAATCTAAAGCTCTCTATTTACACAAGAGCTCAAACAATCAAAAATTATTCACAAGAAGGTTGTTAAAACATATTCGCTGTCAGATTATACACTTTACAGTACCTCTGTATGCATAACGTGTATTCCCACACAGCTCCACGGTACTGAATAAGGAACGCAAGACAGCAGAGAAGTCTGTGCAAGAGAAGAGCGGCCTTCACAGTGGCTGATGTTAGCTTTTGTTCTGCTGAAATACGACAGCAATGCTAAAGTCCGGTGATCTGACGCTTTGAATTTAGAACTAGAAGAAAAGAAAGAAATAAAAGATATGAATATATTATTAGCCAGTAAATAGTACATATTTCAAACGTCGTTGATAAATTTTGCGATCCTCTGGTTAGATGCACTTAAACCCCGCTTTACGGAAACCTCATTATTACGGACAGTGTACTAATAAGCCGATTAACAAGACCAGGATGCGTCACGACAACAAAGGAGATAACCATCAACAAAACTAGGTAAAGATTGTTAAACAAATTCCCCTCATCCACCAAAGGTAAATATATGGAGAACAGTGTGGAGAATATGCATATTGATATAACGGTTTTTCAACGTTCTATGACCATGCATACTAGCTCTTTTGCATCACTGTGTTCCTGAAAGGTAACATGTTACTTACACGGAGCTCGGCCAGCTTTTTGATTCATATGAGTTGATTTCAATCACAATAGGATCCAGATCGCTTCCTGTGACGTTCTCGGGACAAAGGTTGACATCTCTGTATAAATTCAAACCGAACAATAGGATTAGCATGTCCACACGAATGAGTTTTAGAAAACATTCGTTTTCGTGAAAGCCAAACGCATCAACAGCTTTGCGAACTTAGGGTGCTTTTTTCCACCAATAAATGTAAGACACAAAGCCATTGAAATTTGTTTTAACCACCTGGAGTTGTTTTCAGGTCGCTCTTCCTCTTCAACAGTAAATGCCCATCCCGGTGTACTTGCAAACAGTTCAGCTGTCATCTTTGGTAAATTCTTGTTAGCGTTTTCTTTGGTGGCGTAATTGAACTGTACAATGTGTGTTGGCTTTACAACGCGAATCACATCCAACAAAAGAGGTACTCCCATTCCTTGGATAAAAAAGGAAAGAGCTATTGGCGACCGAATTAAGCTAAACAGGTACCTAGCAGGAAATTGAGGGAGCGGGGGACAAAATCGGAGTAAAGTGTCATACGTTTTTTTTGACCGTGAATTGCTGAATTGATGAATTGATTGACGGGGTGACTGACTTAGTGACTGAATGACTAATTGGAAAGGATCTGCGTTTTGGTCCCGCATGCTGTTTTTTCCTGGCAACTATTACTGACATTGTCTTAACCTTGAGAAAAAATTTCTTGACTATTGCCCGATCATAACAACGCTGTTCAACTAGCACAACTCCCTAATTGCTCCAACCAAATCTTGTAAAAATTTTGGGTCTTTTTCCAAACAGACCTTCAATATCTTAAAAGAGCGAAGTAAATTGTAGTAATGTAATAGTTCTAAATACACTTTTTTAACCACAGTTAAGTAGTTAGTTAGTTAATTAGTTAGTTTTTTTACCACGCACATTTTCTGCTCCTGGTCCCGGTTGTTCAAACGTTGGATAGCGCTATCGATCGGATAAATCACTATCCAGCGGATAAGTATTGGGGAGACTAATTGCACTATCCACTGGATAGAGATTTACCCGGTGGATAGCGCTATCCAGCCTTTGAACAACCGAGGCCAGATATATTAATGTATTTTTTTTCTAGCTGAATATACACTATATAATTTATATTTTATTAGCAGATGTAGAGCCCCTTTTTTATGGAAATGCTGTTAATAAACCATAATAATAAATATTATCATTATTACTTAAAGTGAAAATCGTTTGACTTCGTAACGTAACGACAACGCACTCTGCTGTTTGAACTACTTACCCTTAACCCATCCCTGTGTGTTGATAATCAATGGAATCTTGTTTCTGTATTTATCAGCGTATGTCTGATACACATTGTAAATACACTGAATATAGAACCCAGGCCTATCCTTTGGGGATACATCACCAAAAAATACAGATCTACAAAAGACAACAATTATCACGAGTGTTTTCGGTGGTATGAAAAAAAAACGTTCGCAACTACAGAGGTACAAAATTCTAAGCTAACACATGACTTTGGCAAAAGCTTCGAAAACCTCGAATTTATAGCTTATCAGGAATAAAAAATTTCAAGTTACTTATAAGGAGATTGTTATTACCTCTCAGGTTGTCGAAGATGAGTGAATGGCGGACCTAAAATTCAAACGAACACAAAACACAAACAAGTTGTCATAATATGTACTGTATACGGCACTTGCAAATCCCCCAAAATTTTGCATAAGCATTGGGACGGATGTAATACCCAGGAGAAATGAAAAACAATGGTTGTGCAAAATTTTGGGGGGCAAATAAGGTGCATTGTGGGAGATGTACAAGTGGCGTGTTGAAGAAAAAATGGAAGAGAAACAAAGTAAGGAGGAAAGAACGTTTTGTCATAGCTAAAAGTTAGCACTTGCAAGCCTTTTTACTGCATGTACAAACCTAGCAGGGGAGAAGACACTCTGTTTAGTGATATTAACCCAGGAGGAGTGAATTCAGACTGGCCAACGTCGCACTCGAGGAAATACGGCTCGTTCTGTCTAAAAAGAAAAAAATAAGTCCCAAACATAATCAACATAGCACGAGTAATAACCCTTTAAGTTACTAGCATTTTGATTTAACATCAATATGTTCTTTACAACATCAACGCTAAGTCAATTTGAGAGGGTCAGTTTGAGATTGAAGTATTAATTATTTTCACTGGTTAATTCGTGTAAACTAAAACAAGCGAAACATCATCGTTAATTCTTTACCATCAGCTGAACAATGCGAATATTTCGGCGTCCCTCCCCTTACGAATAAAACAAGATTTTTTTAATTTAGTTTAGAATTGTCTCTTCAGCCGGTCCCGTTAATACGGTCACCAATGGGCCAAAAACATTCGGCTGTATTAACAGGTGACAGTATTAACGTTTTTTTTTTTTAACAAGAAAATGTATGGCCGCGCGTTTTGCCGGGCAGTCAAAAAAGTGGCCGTAAGGTGGGGTTTTACTGTAATGAATTATTTCATGTATACTTCACTGTATTTACAATGGTTAGCTTTCACTTCCTCTCTTCCTATTACTTCTTTTTCGGTTTTGCAATTTTTTCGCATGGCTCGCTGCTTCCCTGGCATGTTCTAACTCAATTAGAAGTGGTGAAAAGATAGCTAATGATGTCGACTCACTTGACACGTTATGACTGTTAGCCCCTTTATCATTGGAGACTAATCGGTATCATGGAATATTCATGGACAAAAAATCATAGCAGTGGCAATGTTAAAGAAAAACATCAGGGGGATTCACCAGACAATCACTCTTACAGAACCAGTTCAGAGGCACTTACATATTTCCTACAGTGAAACCTCTCCTTTGGGGGACCTCTATTCAAAGGACACCTCCATTCCTGGGACACAAAATTTGGTTCCGAAAAAAAGTTCACATATTCTTTGTATTTGTTAGCTCTGTTGAAGGGACTCCTCTATTCAGGGGAAAGGGACATTTTTTCTGGATCCCAAAAACCAAGATTTAACCTCCATTCAGAGGACACCTTAGCACTCAAAAAGTGACTGACCACAAAAATCGTTGATAAACACCCGCCCAACCACCAGTCGGGGGACACTTGCCTTAGTCCAGAGGGTGTCCCCTGAATAGAGGTTCCACTGTAGTTTAAACTGGACAAAAAGATACCCTGGACAATTAGATACCAAATGTACAACTGTATTTTAGCACAATAGTGCCACTCAATTACGTAAAACATTAAAAATATATATTGTAGGCAAAACATACCTATTTAGGAATGTGTTAGTTAAATATCTTGCAAATGTTGATTTTCCAATGTCCTTTCCACCACAAATAAGAATAACAGGGGCCTTGGCTGTTAAACATAAAACAAAAACTGACAATGACTAACTGTGGTTTCCTGTGATAAAACTTGCTTCAATGATCAAATGAATGTTAATACCTTCCATGCCCATTTTTGTTTGACACACTGAAGATGCAGCAACTTTCCACTGATCGGGTACTGTCAACATCCTACATCGTGCTGGGTACCATGGCTCCAACTAGAGAACACAAATAGATGAAAGGGGCTACATCGTGCTATCCGCTGTCTTCTTTGAAAAGCCAAAATGTGTCAATGTGTAAATTGAATTCCAAAAAATATATCATTGTCGTTATTGTTGTTGTTGTCATTATTACTATTATGTATTTACTTATAATGACAAAAATAATAAATATTCCCTTCAGTTAACNCACAAATAGATGAAAGGGGCTACATCGTGCTATCCGCTGTCTTCTTTGAAAAGCCAAAATGTGTCAATGTGTAAATTGAATTCCAAAAAAATATATCATTGTCGTTATTGTTGTTGTTGTCATTATTACTATTATGTATTTACTTATAATGACAAAAATAATAAATATTCCCTTCAGTTAACCCCCCCCCCCCTCCCCCTCCAAATTATTCTTTATGTGTTTAGAGACTCCCAATTTTATTACTCAAATAAAAATTATTGTAATTGCAGCTTGTAATGTTTTAATCTCTCATGTCAAATTACCTCTATCGAGGGTGGTAGGGCTGTGCTCTTACAGAGCCTGGTGGCCACTGGTGCCCACCTTTTCCTCTCTGGGGACCAGAAAATGTTAGTTTTTTTCATACAAATCATATGCTGAGTACCATAGATTGTACAGGTTCAGAAACTTGGCTTGGCTCGAAATAAAATTTTATCTGAACCACACAATTAAAGGATGGTAAGGATGCAAACTGGAACAAAAGAGTTAGAAAAAATTGGAAAATTGGTTGTCAGTATCCTTACAAAAATAAATCCCAATGGAGCTGTTTTCTTCTTCAAAGACATCTCTATTTTGTCAAGAGAGGAAACCTGCAAGAAAAAAAAAATAGCACAATTTAGCACATAGCTAAAAATGTGAGTTTTTGAATGGATTTGTCAGTTGTAAGATTAAACATGTCTCCAGTAATAAATGTTATGAGATGCACCATCAGCCAGTGGCACCCAAAAGGAAAAAGCGGCAACCCAGTTTTGTAGCATCAGGAGCCTAGAAGTGTTGCAAAATACTCCTTTCACCCCCCTCCCCCGAGGGAAGGTTACCCCCTGAAGAATTTTGCCATACAGCTGTAAGGAAACAACATGGTGGCCAGGCTCAAATCCAGACCTATAGGTCTAAAGTTTGATAACTGTGGACTACAATGTCTAGTCTGTACCCGGAATTATTTTTATATTAGACTTTTTTTGGCATTCTCCGAGTGCTTTCAATTAAGTCAAAATTTTCAGAAATTTTGGTTGAGAAATAAGTGGACAGCTTTGGTCTGGGTGGAAATTTTCTGGTCTAAGTGGTTCACCTTCAGAGGTGGTCCTCTTTGACCAGTCAGTCCGGTCCAACAAAAAACTTGCCTTTCCATTTCCAAAAATTCGCATTTGCAATCCTACTTTGCTAAGCAGTCATCAAAGTTTTGGTCAGAACAGAAATGGATCACTTCAATTTGATTGGAGACCTTGTTTCAATTGAACAATGTCATTCCATTTTTTCTTGATAATTCCACTGGTTTCTATCTGACTGGTTTTCCAAAATGGAAAGCACCAGTTGTGTCTCAAAAGTTCAGTCCAACAGATACCTTGCCAAGATTCGAGCTGAATATATCATGGAAGCGTTGAATACTGCATACAAAGTTTGTCTCTACGGTTTGCAAGGATTTCATCAACAGAACTGTGGCTGATTTTCTTGATCTCACCAGGGCCTTCTTCATCACCTCAGGAGGCTGGTTTTGTAGAACATCTTGAAATGTTCTCTTTAAATTAATACCTCTTGAGGAATTTTCTTCACTGTGTTCAGACAACACAGCAAGACTTGAAGTACTGGGACAGAAGATTTCCACTGGATCATGATCAGGTCTCAAAACAGAACCATACACTTCAACTGACCCAATCAGGGTTTTGATCAGAGCCAACCCTTTGATGCAAACTCTCTGGTTTAAAACAAAAACAAATAGAACAAAATAATTTCAAAACAAGAAAATGAGGATTCTTTAAATAACAGTAATGTGCATCCATCAAATCTACTGCCTGTACGGGGTTAGAGTCACAATAATAAAATTATTACTCGAATCAAGAGGACATTAAATGGTTAATACATGTCTCTTAAAAGAGACATAAAGACCAGCATTTACATATTGCCTGTACTTATTTAAAAAGTTGGATGCTGTCTCCACAATCATAAAAATTTGTCTCTCATGCAGTCATTTTTTTCTCTGTCTCGTCACACAAAGTCTCTTCCCCTATGAAAAAGGAGAAGCACAAGAATGGGTGCACGGTATACATGTACTATAAAATTGAGAACAGGATTCCAGCAGCTTTCTTTCCAAGAATAAAATGGCTGCCCCAAAAGCTCAAAAGCTACATGTAATGGTGCTTTAAACAACAGATCATGAATGGGGTTGGTGAAAGTACAAACTGATATTATACTGGGGTGCCAGTACACTCACCAACTTTGCCAGTAAAACTTATGACTTGAAATATGATATTACGAATAAATATTTGTTGTAATTTGAAAATTTTTTTTAAGCAGATTCATAGGGCATAATACAGTACGCTATTTGGTAAAGGACAATTTATCACTATCTCAGCCCTCAATTTACAGTTTAACAAGAAAGCTTTCACTCCCTCTGCCAGTGACTCTAGGTTTTAAATTATTCATCTATTTTCTTGTTTGTCTCGTTATTCAATTTATTTTTTGGTTGAAACATACCTGACCTCTTGCTAGAAAAAACAGACAAGCATTCCTCAAAGAACCAGACAAAGGTAATACACTGAAAGAATCAAAATATAAAATTAGCAAACCCTTTTTTCTCACTGAGATGAAATAGAATGTCAAGAAAAAGTTTGCTCACAAGTTAAAAACTGCTAAAAATAAGCTAAAATTTAGCATGCGTAAGATGCAGATGAGTCTTTGATTCCCAGACCTAATTTGAAACTATTAATTTAGTCAAGTTTCTAACCATTATAAAACCAAAGAGATGCTAACAGTTTTTTTACTACATACCATTATATAAAATTAATATTAGAATACAAAATGTATGCTACCATGCATACATGCAACAACATGCAATAATTATTGGTAAGCATACAGCTGTAACTGCTACAAACTTAATGTTAACAGCTGTATCACATGTCACACTGTATATACACCGATGCTTATTCACTTAGCAGAAAAGCTCTTGGTGACGTCTGGAAATTACCAGGATGGTGGATGACTTATTTCAAGGTTCTCTTGTTCTTTCGATGGTAGCCATGCAAAATTTCTCACCCTGGGACAAAAATTGTCAAAATCTCTACCCAGGAAAAAGCCTACTTAGTCAATTTCCCAAGGGTGAACCCTCCTTCCCCATCCTTGGGGTTTATACACTTCATTTCAGCTTGCCCCAGGGTAAGACCCAAGCCAAGCAGGGAAATATGTCAGGAAATACAACAATAATTGGCTACACCACTGCTATAGACTGTTCACAGTTCCCTATTTTCCTGTACGATCGTCAAGATCATTGACGCTCGCCCCCTAGATACATTTGAAAATCAAGATGGCCACCATTAATGGTAAGACACACTATATCTCGACGATCTCAAAGAAAAATAGGGGACTGTGAAGAGTCCACTACTTCTAGGGAGTGGAAATTCAAAGTATATTTTCCAGTTCAGAGGAAGATGGGGGTGGAAATCAAAATTTTGCAAAATCATAGAGGGTAACCATCGAGATGTCAGGGAGATTTCTAAACCTCCTTTATGCGTACTATGTATTCTTAGCTCCTGCCCCTTTTATCCTTGGCTTCCATTCATTTACGCCCTTTTTGATTACAAAATTTTATGCATTGTTGCATAATTGTCCATACTTATCCACCTTCCCACCCTGTTCAAACCCCCACCTCCCACCTTCTCCTCTCCCACCTCCCATAACCCTACTGCCCTCTATTCTCGCGGGCTCCCAGCCCCATGTGGTCCCCCACAGGTTGTGCCAACTTCAGTAAACTGACCTCTTAACATTCAAACTTGCAGGCATAACTCTGCTCTCCTCCGAACTTTTCTTTGCATCTTTCTTCTTCCTTTGCGATCTTCTACCAGTTGCTTTCTTAGTTGTTGCATTACCACCTCTTTCTGCTTTCTTAGCAGCTGTTCTTTTAACATTCAATCTCGTAGATATCAATGCACTCTTCCCAGCATAACCACCCTTCTTTACCCCGTCTTTCTGCCTTTTCGATCTCCTACAAGTTGGTTTCCTAGCTGTGCCAATGCTGTCTTTTACAGCCTTTTTGTTTATCGCACTTTCTTCGTCTTCCGAAGACGAAGATATTACTATGCACTCTTTAGCCTTCTCCTTTTTCCCTTTTTTCTCCCTTTTCGATGGACGACAAGTTCCTTTCCGAACTGCGACTGAAGTCTGGGTCACCGCACTATCTTCGGTTTTCCTGGATCTCTTTCCGCGAGTTTCTTGTTGGTGTCCAGTGGAATTTGCCGTTGCAAATTTCCTTTTCCTGCCGACTGGCATTTTTCAACCAAAATGTTTAGTCTTTTTTTTATCAAAAAGAAAAATCAATACAAAAAAGCCAAAATCTAGTCGTTCTCGCCGCCATATTGGAATCAACAATCTCGTCCCATTCCTTCTCTTTCATATCTGGTTAAGACGTTATGTAAGCGCACTTAAGCGTCCCAATAGATTCCGTCTGACACCTGTTTTTAATTATTTATTGTAACATTTCTTTCTTTCTTTCTTTCTTTCTTTTTTTAAACATTTTTGAGTATGTAGTAATTTATTAACACATCTATCCAGAGTCATGGGTTCTAGGGCCGGGTTGTTCAAAGCTGGCTTAAGATAACACCAGGTACAAATTGGCCGTCAGATCTAAATTTAAAAAAGAACAAAAAAAAATTCTGAGAAGATGCGTTTCAACTAAATAAAGAAAAAGAAACCCGGATTATAATTTAACTTCGGGAAAGCGCTAGTCAGCCTTCGAACAACTGGGCTCTGACCTATCTAGGTTATTTACATTAATTCAAATATTTATATTTCTTCCTTCAATTAAATTATTTCAGGAGCTCATAACCCGAAGCGGGCGCTTGGCACGGCGTTTTCATAGACCAGTTTATTTTTAGAACGATTTGGTGCAAATTTGGAATATCTTTTTAAATTCCATAAACCATTCAGAAATTTCCTACAGACCCAAAAATGATATTTTTTAACTTTTAGTTGTCCTTCTATATCTTATACTTCGATTGCGCTTGTAGACATGGTGGATAGTCTATTTTTGCGGGAAAAAAGTGCCCTAAAATGTGTCTATTGTGGGGGTGTGTTCGAGCAACTCGCTCGCTACACGACTAGGTACCAGGAATTTGATTTACATCTTGGCCTTTATTCTTCTTATTCTTCTTACAACTTCTGCTTACTCTACTTCTACTCTACTTCTCCTAGCGGTTTTAATAGCCAAAGCTGGACATGTTTGGGTTAGCTGACCGGAAGAGTCTCTATTGTATACCTTATCGCTAACATTGCCACAGGTTTGCTATTGTTCGGGAATAGATTAGCCCACGCACAGTCGCAACTGATAAGTACCAAAGAACGAAGGTCAGCTCTAAACACCACAAACACGACCACCTGTAAAAACCTAACATCTGACAATGCCAAGCGAATAACATTCCTAATATGGCAACAAGTAAATTCGCGAGCTAAGCATACCTTCAAGAACAAGTAAAAACAAAAGATCAAAACAGGAAAACAGTACGTGGACAAAAACAAGACTTAATGAAACAAAAACTAAACTTAAAAGGAAAGATAGATCCGTCTTAAACATAACTTTCAAAATACTTCACAACACTATTATAAACTGGCCCGTAAAACGCCGTGACATACGCTTGGGAGTTTTCCGCTCCGGTTTATGGGCTCCTGATTATTTCTATTTCTTTTGTTCTTTTTTGCTTCTTTGTTTGTCTGTGTGTTCACGTCCACTTTTGTAGCTTTGGTACTGAACTTTACGTATTAACTCTAGACTATTCCTGTTGACCTGCGAACAAATAGCCGGAATTGTCCGAGGCGTAGTTATAATTTTTGCAAAGGTTCCCCTCCCCCCCACCTCCCCACAGCATTTGAGGCTGCCTGATTGTCTTCCGAGTTCCGATTCCAGTAGACTACGAGTAGTCCCCATTTTTCCTCAGGGATAGTAGAGCGAGCGAAACGCAAAAATGGGGACTAGTCGTAGTCTACAATTCCAGATAATTTAAAGCTGACTAGTCCCGGTATGAGCAACTTTTAGTAAGAGCTACTTTTCCGTCTATTGCTTTTCGAGAAGACGCTTCTTTAGTGGAAAGAACGAAACCATGGGAGGAAGTTGAGAAGACCGGCGTAGCGAGTCAGTTACTGCATGGAGCTTGGGGAGTTTTGTTCCGGCTAGCAAGAAAATCGCTACACTTATAGCGAGAAATAGCCTGCGAAAACAGCCGTTTCTCCTCGCTCTTCGCCGCTGAGGACGTTTCGCGAGGAAACGTCCCCAGCTGCGAAGAGCGAGGTGAAACGGCTGTTTTCGCGGGCTAAGCGACCTGAAGCGAGAAATGGATAACCAGGATTGTCTAAATTATTTGACTGGCTAAAAGTACTAACTAGACAAAATAAATGTGTTTGCTTGTTATTACTATTCGCGTCTTTATTTTTCTTACGGTTGACTTCTTCAGGAAAAAAAAGGAAAAAAAGCCAATAGGAGTGTAGGAAACACAGATTTCATTGTGTAGTGGTGACTGCAAAATAATTACATGTACTTCATTTGAGCGCCAAAGCACTTAGCTAAAAACTACTAATTGAGGACACCTGCTGGTGTTCTTCTGGAGACGGGACCACCATCAATTTTCGCAGTCATCCGAGCCATGCGTCTAGCTGTTTGCAGGGCAAAGGCAGTAAATTCGTGTCCTTGGACGCACTGGTGTGCCTTCAGTAACTATCATGGCAAAGAAATGGAATATTCTAACAATGGGAGAAAGGGAGACCGTAGTACATGTAGCATTGCGTGAAGACACACACAGAAAAAAACAGCTGGTGAGAAGGCTATTCAGTACCAAGCGAGTACACCGCGAAAATGTAGCCTCTGTTCGCATGGTATCTGTTCAGGTTTTTTTTCCGAGATTTTCCGCCAAGCACCCCTGCTTCTTTTTAGGCTTGTACCCTGTCTGTTTCCAAAACACTGGTAATAGTGTACTTTTTAAAATAATTTCATTTTCCCTAATTAATATAATTGCAATGGAATGATGCATCGATTAATTATTAATGATTGATACAGTGACGTCGTCAATACTCACACTGATATAAAAATACTCCAAGCTTTAACAACATAATTATAGAAAAGGTGTCATTCAAAATGTATAGTATTCAAAATCAAGTTTAAAAAAGATAAGATAAAAACAATATGCATCTAACAATAAAGTCAATTATAGGTGTGCCGATCATTGAAATCAACTCTCATTTTTACATCTCCAATCATCTCTAAAAAATATCTTTGTCATCAAAAATTAATGAAAAATATTTAAACTTGTATCTTGTCTGCTTGATGGCAGACTAGTAATTATGAAAGTATAACCACCAAACAACCTTTTTATATCTTTTTTTTGTAGTGTTCCAAAACGCAGCAACGCATTTGTGCCTTTTTTCTGTCCATTGATGTCACAAACAAAACTTGTACAAGCATTAAAATAAAATAAAAAAATAAATTAATTTTAAAAAATGAAAATCTCAGGAGTTTATGCCACCTTGACTCGCACAAAAGATGAAAACTTAAAGAATTTTTAAAATTTAAGACAATTTCCCAATAAAATGAATTAATGATTTCTTGGTTTGATCAATCTGATTAATTCTTGTGACTGATTATTAATCTCAGCCCACCCCTGGCATCACATTTACATGAAAGGCAGCTTATTCATCTTTTTATCCTTGGTTCATGTGATTATCATAATGGTTTAGGAGAAGATTCTGGCTTTTAAATTCCTCCTGACAAACCCAGCAACTGAAGGTTTCGGAGATTTGTTTTTTGTTGGATGAATCCTTTTTTGGTCTAAATATACAGTGGTTTTTGTTATGTATTGTCAAACTCCCTTTAGCATTAAAACAACTGCCACATTTTTCACATTGAAATGGCTTCTCTCCTGAGTGTGATCTTTCATGTTTCCACAGGGTTCCACCTTGATTAAAACATTTGCCACAGTGCTTGCACACAAAAGGTTTCTCTCCAGTGTGAATTCTTTCATGGTTTCGCAACTGACCCGTTTGAATAAACCGCTTGCCACATTTCTGGCACTGATGAGGTCTAACTCCAGTGTGGATATATTCATGTTTGCGCAAGTCCCCTCTATCATTAAAACACTTGCCACAGTGTTGGCATGCATAAGGCTTCTCCCCAGTGTGAGTCCTTTCATGTTGACGCAAACGTCCAGATGTCGTACAATACACACCACAATGTTTACATTTATAAGGTGTCCTCTCAGCATGGGTTCTTTCATGTGACCGCAAACCACTGGAGTCCTTGAAACACTTGTCACATTGTTTGCATTGGTACGGTTTTTCGCCAGTATGGATTCTTTCATGTTGTTTCAAACTGCCACTCTGCGTAAAACACTGGCCACACTGTTTACATTCAAAAGGCTTCACTTCCTTGTGGATCCGCTCATGGCATCGTAAGTTGCTGGTAGTGAGAAAACTCTTACCACAGTATTCGCACTTGCAAGGTTTTTCTCCAGTGTGTGTCCTTTTGTGCACATTCAGTGTACCTGCCTGCTTAAAACATAGGCCGCACTGTTTACACTCATAAGGTCTTTCCCCTGTGTGGACTCTAGTATGTGTTATTAACCCTGACTGAGAAGTAAAGCACTTGCCACATTCCTTGCATTCAAAAGGCTTTTCACCAGTGTGAGATCTTTTGTGCAACTTCAAACTTTCAGCGCGCTTAAAAGACTTGCCACATTGCTTGCATTCAAAAGGCCTTTCTTCACTGTGAGTGGTTTTGTGAAGCTGCAAATGACCAGACTGTGCAAAACATTTACCACAGTGTTCACATTCATAAGGTTTCTCTGTCATGTGGACTCTCTTATGCTGTCTTAAACCAGCACTGTCCTTAAAACATTTACTGCAGTGTTTACATTCATAAGGCCTTTCTCCAGAATGGATTCGTTCATGGATTCGTAAAGAGTTTTTCAAAGTAAACTGCTTGCTGTATTGTTGACATTTAAACAATTTTTCTTCTGCTTTGCTCCTCTCCATAACCTAATCCTGCAATCAAAGATTTCCTTTTTATTATTACATTGTTTTTAACCACTTCTGAAAAAGTAATATAGGTGGAAATGTCTAATACACTTTTTTCTTCAAAACCAAACACCAATGCAAAACTGAATCCAAAATAATCCTGTGCATCAAACATCAAGGCGTAGCCTGACATTTTTAAAGTTGTACGCAAGGGATCAAGAAAACTTAGAGTGCCAAAGGCATTCCAAACAGAATTTTTTGGCAAAATCTTTCCAGTAAATAAATACGAAGAAAAT